CTTGCAGCCCAAACCATTCCATGATTCTACATGTGAGATGCAGAAGGGGGATGTATAGAATATACAGGGGAGGGATATGTGAAACATAGGGGGGGATGTATGGGATGCAGAAGGAAGACATGAAACACATGGAGGGGATGTATGGGGTGCGTCACACATACAAAATATCTAAGGGAATGTTTGAGAGGGATAGGGGGGTGTATGAGGTACATGGGGGAGGTATGGTGTGTACACGGGGGGCAACACAAGGGATGCAGTGCAGAGATGCCTGGCATGGGAGATGACCATGGTGTCATAGGTAGCACTGCTGGGTGCTTGTGCACACTGCAGGGCTTTGCAAATTGCCTGTCTTAAAACCCCACAGAACTGGTGTTCATTCCCCCTCCTCTTGCAAAGCCTCCCTATGTGCTGCCTCCTTGGCTGCGTTCTCCCCTTCTCCTGGTGCAGTAACAGCAGGTTTCCCCTCTGGCAGAGCTGCCATGGGACCAGCCCAGCGACAGCTGCCAGGAGTACAGTGACTGGAAGGAGAGGAAAACCTACCTCCCGCCTTGGAAGAAGATTGATTCTGCACCCTTAGGTAAGCACCCAGCACCCCCAGCAGTGCCCCCTGCTATGCTGGCATCACCATTCCCACCCTTCTCCATCTCTCCCAGCTTTGCTGCACAAGATCCTGACGGAGAGCCCTGCGGCAAGGATCACCATTCCTGATATCAAGAAGGACCGGTGGTACAGCAAACCCCTCAAGAAGGGTAAGGGGACACGGGGGAATGCGCTCGTCACCCCTGATTTAGGGAATTATTGGGGTATCTTGTCCCTTTGCAGGCGTCAAGCGGGCTCGTGTGTCCTCAGGAGGGGTCACTGAGTCTCCTGGTGGCTTCTCCAAGCACGTCCGATCCGATATGGACTTCTCACCGGTGAAGAGCCCACTTGGGTGAGCCCCTGATTCCTTTCATGTCCCTCTCCATGCTCTGAGGTGATTTTGCCATGCAGTTCTTTGCACCTTCCAGGGCTTTCCCTCTGTTTTCCCCATGAGGAGGTTTGGTGGAACCCATGCACAAGCCTCTGGCTACCTGGCTTGTGCAGTGCACCATCATCCAGAATCACAGACTGGTTTGGGTTGGAAGGGACTTTAAAGCTCTTCCAGTTCCAACCCCCTGCCACAGGCAGGGACACCTTCCACTAGAGCAAGTTGCTCTGGAACGCGGCCAGGGGTGGGCCAGCCACAGCTTCTCTGGGCACCCTGTGCCAGCGCCTCAGCACCCTCACAGGGAAGAACTTCTTCCTTATATCCAACCTAAATCTCCTCTGTTTCATTTTGATCCCATTCCCCCTTGCCCAATTGCTACAGTCCCTGATGAAGAACCCCTATCCAGTATCCTGCTACAATTCCCATGCTGGAATATCCCCGCATTCCCCATCCTTGCAGCCTCTGCTTTGCACTCGCACCCCTGTAACACCCCATCTGCCCTTGCATTGCAGCGAGGAGAAGGTGAGCTACTCCACATCACAGCCGGAGCCCGGCACTGGTGGGATGCTCTGGGACTGTGGAGCAGCCACCATCGACAAGCTGGTGCAGGGCATCAGCTTCTCCCAACCCGCCTGCCCTGAGCACATGCTGGTCAACAGCCAACTCCTTGGCACTCCGGGCTCCTCACAGGTATGGGAGTCAACTCAGCAGGGTCTACTCTGTTGGGGTGCAGCTCTGCAGTACTTGGAGTGTAATTCTGCAGTATATATAATACTAGGGAACAGCTTTGCACTATTGATCATCTCTGGATGTGGTTTTGCAGCATTTATGGAGCAACTTTGCAGTATTTTTAGCAGCAGGACACAGCTTCGCAGCCTTTATGATACCAAGATGCAGCTTTGCAAGGTTTTATCATCTCAAGATGAAACTTTGCAATGTTTTGGGTGCATCTTTAGGGTATTTTTAGCATCAGGATGCAGCTTTTCAGTGTTCAGGGTGCTGCTTTGCAGCTTTCACAATATCAGAATGCAGCTGCAGTGTTTGGGATGCAGCTTTTCATCCCACTTATAACCTCGGGGTCCAGCTTCAGAGTACTTATTACATTTGGGATGTAACTTTGCATTACATACATGAGATTCAGGGGCAACTGTGCAATATTTATGCCATTAGGGAGCAGTTTTGCGGTACTGGGATGCAGCTTTGCAGCGTTCATAACGTTTGGGGTGCAGGTTTGCATCCTGGGCGATGCAGCTCGCAGCCTTTGCCATCAGGGGGTGCAGCTTTCCAGGGTTTACCCTCGGGATTGCCGCAGCCTGGTGGGATTTCTGACCCTTCCCATGGGTTTGGGGCCGGCAGAGCCCGTGGCAGCGCCTGGTGAAGCGGATGACGCGCTTCTTCACCAAGCTGGATGCCGACGGCTCATACCGTGCCCTGAAGGAAGTGTGTGAGAAGATGGGGTACGGCTGGAAGAAGAGTTGCACCAACCAGGTGGGTGCTGGGGGGGGCAAGATCCTGGGGTGGGACCCCCCTGCTGTTGTATCTGCAAATAATCCAGGGGATCGCCCCCTCCTTGCTGCTGTTTTCAGGTCACCATCTCGACCACGGACAGGAGGAACAACAAACTCATCTTTAAGGTGAACCTGGTGGAGATGGAGAGCAAGATTTTGGTGGATTTTCGCCTCTCCAAGGTATGCACGTGGTGATGCACTGTAGGTGTAAGATGGTGCAGGGACTTGCAAGGTGATGCAGGACCATTCAAAGTGATGCAAGACCATGCTAGGTGGGTGCAGGACCATGAAAAGTAGGTGCTAAGTAATGCAAGACCATGCTAGGTGGGTACAGGACCATGCAAGGTGGGTATAAGACCATGCTAGGTAGGCACAAGGTGATGCAGGACCATGAAAGGTGGGTGCAAGGTGGTGCAGGACCATGCTGGGTGGGTGCAAGGTAACACAACCTCTCCCCACACAGGGCGATGGCCTGGAGTTCAAGAGGCACTTTCTGAAGATCAAGGGCAAGCTCAGCGACATCGTCAGCACCCAGAAAGTCTGGCTGCCCACCACGTGAGCCCCAGCACCCACCTGCCTACTCCTCCTCTTCCTCCTCCTCCTTTTCCTCTTCCTCCTGTAGGGAGCATCCGACCGACCGTGCGCTTTGGGTTTTAAAGGTTCAATAAAGCCCTTGGGGAGACATGAAGTGGTGCCTCCTGCAAGTGGGGAGGCTGCAATGAGTCAGTGGGTCCCATACTGCCACAGCCACGAGGGTGCTGGGATGGACTGATAGGTTCATCAAAATTCTCCCAGAATGCCCCCAAACGGCTAAAATTACCCTAAATTATGCACAAACAGCCCAAATTGCCCCCAAACCAGCTCAAAACCTTCCAGCAATGCCCTCAAACCACCTTCAAATGCCCCAACTTACACTCAAACCACCCGCTCCCAAAGTGCAAACGTCCAGCCTCTGCTACTAAGCCTCAGGTGCCAGCAGGACAGAAAGCTGGTGCTGGGTATCACCTACACATGGTGAGCTCTGCAACGCTGCCACCAGCACAGATAGCCACCCTTAGGTGCCCATTTGAAAGTGCATCTGAGTGGAGCAGGGCCTTGGATATTCATGCGTAGGCAGCCAGTTTCTCACTCAGTCACTGGAGAGTTCTGTACAGTGAGGCTTTCCACAGGTGCAGTTTTAGGTGGGTAAGTAAGTGAGGATATCCGTGTTGGTAGCACTGTTCCAGAGGTCACCACATGTAGGACATGCTTGGAGCAAGCTGGGCTAATGGAAGGTGTCCCTGCCCGTGGCAGAGGGTTGGAAGTGATGAGCTTTAAAGGTCCCTTCCAGGCCAACCCATTCTGGGATTCTATGTCCTATGTTTGGGCTCTAGGCCCCGGTGGAAAGAAGGGGGGGGCAGCGCCGAAGAGGCAGGGTTGAACCTGATTGAAGCCTGCAGTGCTTCCTAAGGCTGGTGCGTGCAGGGAAGGTCAGACCTGATTGAAGACCCCGCGTTGATTCGACCATGGCCGGCCCCATCCCATGGAAGGCGTCCTAGAGAATACTGCCCAAATTGCTCCCAAACCCACCCGAAGTACCTCAGACATGCTCAGATTACCTACATCCAGCTCAAATTGCCCCAAAGCCCACCTGAAATGCCCCCAAACTAGCCCAAATTACACAAGACTCAGCCAAAACCAAGCTTGAAGTTCCTCCAAATAGCAAAACCCAACCCAAACTGCCCCAAATTGCCTTAAAACCAGACAGAAATGTCCCAAGCCCACCCCAAGTGCCCTCAAACCTGCCCACATTGCCACAAAAAGGCCCAAAATACCCCAAAGCAGCTGAAAGTGTCTTAAAATAGCCCAAACCAGCCCGAAATGCCCCAAATTGCCCTAAAAACCCACCGAAATTTCCCCATGTCAGCTCAAATTACCCCCAAAGTGGCTTTAACCATCCTAAACCAACCCCCAAATAGCCCAAAACTCCTCCAAATGCTCCACAAGTCCCCACAGCAGCTCAAAATTCACCCAAAATGCCCACAAATGGCTGGAATTACCCCAAATCATGCACAAACAGCCCAAATTGCTCCCAAACCAGCTCAAAACCTTCCAGCAATGCCCCAAACCACCTTCAAATGCCCCAACTTACACTCAAACCACCCGCTCCCAAAGTGCATCCAGCCTCTGTTGCTAAGCCTCAAGTGCCAGCAGGACAGAAAGCTGGTGCTTGGTGATGATTTGGCAGAGGAACAAGTGAGTAGAGGATGGGGGAAGTCCTTTGAAGAAAGGGCAGTAACAGCTTGATTTAGGTCTGATTCCCAAAAAAGACCTTTCCATGATGTACTGTGCTTGTGGAGCAGGCACACACAGCAGAGGCAGAAGTATGATTTGGATTTCCCATGCTGTCTGCTTGTTGGGTAGTGTAGGTGGCGGGTTGGGTAGAAGAGGTGACACTTAGGGTAGTGTTGGTACCACGCTAGTGTAGGTGTAGATACCAAGCTAGTGTGGGTGTAGTGTAGGTAGCACTTGAGGTAGCAGAGGTGTTAGGTTAGGTAGCATAGGTGGTACTTTGGGTATACTCATGCGGCTGACTTAGGGTTAGGACAGCTTAGGCTTAGGAAGCAGGCGAGGAGGAGGAAGAGGAGAAGTGTCCTGGGTTCAGCT